GCAACATTATTTATGATAATATTTCAATATAAAATATCAAACGATATACTTTAAAAATCATAAGTATTCAATTTGAAATAGTTTTTGTAGTACATTAACAATTTCACATACAACTTCTCCAATGTAGAATCATTTATTAAACATTTAAATAGTTTACACACTGAATTGATCTGTAAATATAGTTCATTCTCGATTCATCATTCAGTTTTATTCAAGTATTTTTCTTGATATGGTCTACTTAGTAGCATGCCCTTGAAAGAGGCTATTGGAGTAAAGAAATTGTGAAATCCGCTATACAAATAATTTTCGATTTTATTAAATAACATGTCAAGATTTTGGTTAAACTTTGTCTTTTATTAGCCTTTATCAATATTCAAAGTCAACGTCCACTTAGAGGTTTGTGGTTAATTATCAATTGGGTTTTCATTGTTCCTACTTTTCTTTTCTTTCTTTCTTTTTTATTTTTAATATGTGTCTATTTGTATTTTACCATGAAGTCAAAAGAGAAATCTTTGATTATTACATGTAAAAGCTAAAGGAAATGGCTTTATAAATCTTTTCAAATTTAATTATTGCCTGCTTTGATCCGTGGGAATAATGTGTTGCCACCACGCATTGGTTGTTTGCTCCATATAAAAATAAAATATGTATTTTCACTCTGCTTTGAAAAATGAATAAATTTTTCATATCGTTCGATAACAAGTTAATTTTTTTACTTCATAAAGTGCGAAAGATTATGCGCTAATTATGCGATTGACATTGTGCGAAAATTCAATAATGCGAAGGCATTCGCATAACCCTCGCACTTTCTAATGTGAATATGCAACAGTTATGCGAATGATATGTGATAGTTATGCAACTGATATATGATAGTTATGCGTACCACTCTAATAACCTTCGCATTTTTTGGGGTAAAAAAATTAGATTGTTTGTTACTAGGGTGAAAAAGTTAATGTAATCTTCACGTCGGGTTATGAAATTAGTCTTCATCCGTGCGATGCACATGATTGGAATATTTAAAATATTCAATATTTTGATTAATAGTATGTAACAAAAGTAAACATACTATAAGCAAAGTAAAAAATCATAAATTACTAAATATTTCCTTCTACACAACGTTTTTTGTTTGATTTTTTAGCGAGTAATCGTTTCCACAAACTAATATTTTCAAACCACTTCGTTTGATGACACGAGATACAACAACGTATAACCACCTGTGACTGAAAACCAGCTTCTTAAAGAATAAACCAACATGCGAGAATGATTGTCCTTGGATCTTCTTTATTACAGTCATAGCGTAAGAAACAACAATGAGAAAATGTTGCTGCTCAAACTTGAAAGGAATTCTGACATCGTAATGAGTTATAGCAATTATAGGAATCAAAACTATCTCGCTTTCATGATCCTCAGTGAGTATCTTAACTCGAGAACATGAGTGGAGATTTTTGTAACAACCAAACGTGTCTCATTATATAGACTCATAGTATGATTCATGTTCTGCAACAACATAACATGAGTTTCAATCTTCAAATGCTACTCGATTCAGATGAAAAATCTTTATTAGAATCGTAGGATTCTGTTTCATTGTTTATATTGATTGTGGATTTGGCCAAAAGAAATAGGAATATTAATTCGTGATTTGTTTCATATTCTTTCGAGAAATTATATGTCAAAAATATTGTATGTTTTATATTTGATTGGAAGATTAAGGTTCCCCAATAGTAGGATATTCTATTATGAATTTTTAAGATATTAAGGCATGAAAATTAATAAAATTATTTCAGATATCATTTTCCATTAAAAATGGTATTTTTCAAAACTAAAATGTTGTGCTTATTAATAACCAGATTTTGTATCAAAGAGATAAGTATATTATCTTGAAACATTTAATTACGAAAAATATTAGCATATATCTTGCTTCAAATTCGACCATTTGGTATAACAGAATTTGATCATCAGAATTGTAGCAAAAAAAAAAAAATGCTTGTTGATAAGATTTGTTTAATTTTTTATTAGAAATTAAAATATTCTATTATTAAATTAGCCTTTCATATAATGATAAGGTTTGTATAATAGACAATTATGCTAATTTTTATTCCTATTCGCAATAACTTATGGTGGAGATTGATATGATTTATTGTCATGTAACAAATTGTATATATATTTGTATTTTTTGTTGTAGTGATGCAGTTTCATATCAAATTTTGTATTAAATTATTGTATTTAAATCTGATTGGAAATTTGTACTAAAACTATTTTCACCCACTATTAACATTCGGTTTTCCTAAATTGATCGCCACATTAAATATATGGTATAGATATTTTTAAAAAATGAAAGAAAAAAAATCCAAAAAAAAAAATATCCACTCCAAAATCAAAACATTTTTGTTTCCAACTGATAAGAATATCAAATTATGTTACATTTTTTGCCCAAAAATCTAAGCATATAATCTCACACTTCTTTACCAAATAAAAAAAATTATCGTATATCTTGTTTCAAATTCGGCCATTTGGGATTATCGAATTTGATCATCAGAATTGTTGCAAAAAAAGGCATACTAAATAGATTTGTTTAAATTTCTATTACTAGGAAATCAAAATTTTCCATTATTATCCTCTTTTTGAAATTGAATTTGTTGAAAATAAAGACACATGTATAAGGTAAAAAATTTAAAATTTTATTGCGTTGTAGAATCAAAAATTATAGAAAATAGTTGGTTTCATTATTAGATTTTAATGATATTCAAAAAATATAAAAACAATATTACAAAAACTGACGCACAGAGTGTCAATTAAATCTGTTGATAGTTACACATTGCACGGATTTATTTTTTCATGAAATAACCATCAATATTGTAGAAAAAAAAAAATCAGTTTGAAAAAATTTGTACACACATGCGATAAGATCAAGCAAAATTATATTAGCTAAATTTTATTTACATTCGCATTGAATTATAGTGGAGATTGATATTATTTATTGCCATGTAACAAAATTATATCTATATTTGTATATTTCCGTTGTATTTATGTTTTTTTATATCAAATTTTGCATCATATTATTGAATTGTAATCTGATTGGAAATTTGAACTAAAATTGTTTTTACCCACTATTAATATTCAGTTTGCCTAAATTGAACACCACAATCAAGATATGTTATGGAGTTTTCAAAAAAAATAAAAAAAGGTTAAAAATATGGGTAATAAAAGAAAAAATAAGATCCACACATATCTCCTCATTTTAATATCACGCGTATGTACTTAAATTATCTTAAATGGTTATGAATTTTTCCAAGAAATTAAAAATGTGAAAAAAAAAATGAAATCAATCAAAAAAAAATATCTGCACCTAAATTTCAAAAGATAGTTTTTGTTTCCAAGTGTAAGAATATGAAAATTTGTTACATTTTGTGGCCGAAAATATAAGGACTCGCTTGTTTACAAAATAATTCGTCCAAAATGAGTTATTTTGGTTAACTAGAGTTAATTTTGAAAAAAGTGGTATGGTTAATTGTTAGTGGGATTTTAAAAATGTATTAAAATAATATTTAAAATAAAATGATTAAAATTGATTTGATGTAAAAGTATGAGATAAATAATTGAAAAATCTAGTTTTCAGGTAAGGTCAGATCATCTTATTGAATATATATCTGAAAGAATAGAAAGGAACTCATACTGATGATCGCTACGAATTGCCCCTATTCGTCAACTAGCTTCTCTAAATAGAGTCCCTTCGCTCCACATTTATGCGTTTAATAAAAAAGGTAAAGAATTCCCAGCTTGGATATTCGAACTGCTAACAACTACTAAAAAACCCGTTCCTCTAGAACAGCTAAGAAGGTCCGTTCGTGTGTGGCAGCTGAAAGGGAAGGTTAGACTTGAGATTCGATTCTTATTTCATTTGCTTTTTTTATGTACGATATTCCCTATTGATAAAATAAAGAAATTCAATTCAGACAAGTAGCTAAGTCGTCACTAGATGGAAGGCAATGTTGAAGCCCAACCTTACTCCTGGTAATTATATTGAAGCACATAATTGGTTGAAGATCACGAGGCGTTTCGAATACGAATAAAAGAATCAAGAGAAGGGGCCCCTGGTCCGGAAGATGCCAACTATGGATGGGGTATATACTACTACGATTGTATCTATTCGCTGAGAGTCCCAATCTTCTTGAAAAACGTGATACGCGGAACATCTTGATGAGTGAATTTTCCAGTTTTCATTCCTATTAGTCTCATTCGAGAGCTAAAAATATGCTTTTGGCGTAGCATCGGGAGTTCACTTTTCTAACCTTTTTTAGTGCTCCATGTTCCTATGATATCCCAACCCGATGTGATTCCCTCTGTGTATGGGTTGTGTTCTATGGATTGGGAATGATAGGTAGTTAAAATTATGTGAGTCGATGAATAGTGAATTAAAGTTGATGTGATGTGTAAGAATGATTGAGTTGTATTTATTAATTATATGAATAATATTAAACATAGTGGGGTTGAGTTAAAGTTGAGTTAGATTTTGAGTATGAATTAAAAGTAAGTGCAATAATTGATAAACAAGCATGCCCTAAGCGTATACTAATTTCATATTTACTATAGGATCTCACGTGTTCTTACCAAAAAAAAAATATAATATAAATTATTGACAATAAATCTAGTTCGATTTTATCAAAAATCGGGTATGTGTATATTGATAGATAGTTACATTATCTGATTATTTCAAACTATTGCTTTTATTATTAAGTCAAAAATACTATTTATGTATTTCTTCGACAACATTTTTATTTATATTAGATATAGATAGGTGGTACCTAAGACACATATACGAAATTAATGTGAAAAAAGAAAATTACCATTATCAAAATCCAGATTATGAATTAGCAATCACTATAATCTGAAATCCGCAAAATCTCATTTACGAAATAATTTTGTAAGACCGACACTTATCAATCCTATAAAAACCCATCAAAATTTTGCAACTCTACACACTACCGAAAACTAAGATAATTGTGAGTACCAACTTTGAAGCATTATATCAAGATTAATCATGGCTGGGAGGCTTTCTTTGTTTATCGCCATTTTCCTGGTCGCCATTGTTGTCACCTCTTGCACCACGAAATCCAAGCAGGTTAATTAATTACGAATAAATCAAAACCTTGCTCATTATTAATTTAACAACCTAAATATATATCCATTTAATTATGCAAATAATTTTATAGTATTTCACAATCCTGGTGCGTGGATTATATAGGACAAGACTTGGTGCGTGATAAAACAAATAGCGCCGGCTGATAAGATGCAAGCATATATTGACTCGGCTTGCAAAGAGTACGACTGCAAGGAAATCAGACAGGGCGGCTCATGTTACGAGCCGAGAACGTTGGCCAATCATGCATCTTATGTCCTTAATTTGGATTATAGAGCCACTGGTCGGTGCAACTCAGATATTGGTACCACAGCCATAACAGATCCTTGTAAGATATAATAACTTTTAGATGATTAATGTGTGTTTATTTTATTTGGTGTCAATTTTGTGTAAGTTAGTCTTGGTTGTGATGCTTAATTTTTCTTCTTGTTATTTGCAGCATTTGGCACATGTCATTACCCATGAGTTCGGCCACACTTGGGGAAGGCAGGAGATTACTTGTGGAGCTATTAGAGTGAAGGAAAAATGGGAGATATGACATTTTTATCTATATCCACATGTACCCTAATTCGCAAATGAATAAATACATTAATAAAAAAAAAATATGGTTATGTTACTTCTGACCAATGTTTAAACTTAACCTACGGACTAGCAATTGTTCTTATTTTTCAATATGAAACAGATGTAACAAGTATTTAGGCAAAAACAATAATCACATAAATTAAAATAGTAGTTCTAACATGTTGTATTTTGTTTTCATATATATATTTCTTTCAATAGCAAAGCCTGTTGGATTTTTCTTTCGACCGGGCTATTTTTACGAGAGAAATGTCAATGATTTTTCTCTCAATGATTTTAAAGCAGGTTTATGAGCACAATTTACTAGTACCCGATCCCGAAAACCTATTTTGTAAATCAAGTTGTACAATCCAATCAAAGTACCTTTATGCCACAAGGGTTAGTTTTTTGACAAACTTGAACCTAGAATTCCCTAGAGGTAGGGTGAACTTTCCAAAAACTTCCAGCATAAACTTAAAAATCATGGGGTTTTTGAACTCTTTTTCTTCCATCATGTGTTTTTGTCTAAAAGCAATTTTTATCTCTAATAAACAAAAATCCGACAGTTCGGAGCCCGCTCGTGTACAAACACTATTCCAAACTTTACAACCATCCAAGTGCATATACAACCGATTATCTCCTTACATGGCCAAAAAACTGTAAAGGGACAGTGAATTTATAACATACAAGCAAAGCACCTCCCAACATTATTTCCTCATGCATATCATGCTCTCTACAACATTATTTCCCAATACAAATCATGCTCTAGAAGGGACAGAGTGTAAATTTTCCATATAAAAAGCAAAGCACCGATCAGCATTCTTACCTCAAGCATATCATTCTCTCTAGAAGGGCCAAATAGTGTACATTTGTCATATCATGCTTCAGTTACATAAGCTAAACTATAAAGATCCCATTAGATCTTAAGTGGTTTGAAATTCAATCTAAGAAAAGCGCAATTTCAAGCTTCAGAAAAATACCACCACAATGTATAAGCTCAACATAATTGCCAAGTACCACAATTATTCCCTCAAAACACATAGCAAACGTCCAAACCTAAACCAAACATGACCAAAAAATACAAAGAATGCGTAGACCACTTAATTGCATTTGGCCAATCTCAATCCTCAACTCAACAATAAATCATAGCCATTCACCAAGGAATAAATGTAGTAAAATGATAAATGTCAATAATACGAAATTAAGCAAAATTTTCAAGATCCGTTCTTATATCCCATAACAAAACCTACATAACATAAGTCAATAGTTGCATTTCAAAAGATCAATAAAATTCTCGAGTGACTAAAAACCAGTAAACAGACAATATTAAAACAAAACACCAGCCACATGCTCAGAGTCAAGGAACAAATCCTCACAACATTTTTCACATCTCACCGATCCAAAGAACTTCAATCACCCTTCTTCCTGAAAGAGCAGCCTTCAGTGAGCCTAGCACGGCCGCCCGTAGGTTGGCACAGTACCGTCTGGCAGTTTCCACATACAACAACTGTTTGCGAGTGGCTGAAAACAGTGGTTCTGGAAGCAGAAAGCGCACAAAAAACCATATAAATCAACAAATTTTAAACATTTCCTCGTCATGGATCAATTCATTTACTTGATACTAATAATGCAATTCAGAAAAGCAATCAACAAAATTTAATTCTTCCTTAATCATGGTTCATTTACTCACTTGACATTGATCATACAGTTCAATTAGCAATCAGCCAAGTTTAATTTTTCCTTCATCATGGATCAATTCGTTCACTTGACATTAATCATACAATTCAACAACACAATCGACAAAGTTTAATTCTTTCTTCATCATGGATCAAATACTTTCACTTGATATTAATCGTACAATTCAGAAACGCAAATTTGAAAATGGGAAATCAAAAAGTAAAAGAAAACTCACATGTTAAAGCAGCCCTGACACTTGACATCCTACAATCATGAACAATAAATAAATACATGGTACATAAAATAAAAAATAAATAAAAAAGAAAGAAGAAGGTAGATGAATAAGAGTACCATGAAAAACGAGTTTGGTGACTGAACAAGACGCTTAAGCTTATGCTTCCTCTTCTCGAGCTCCGCCGGCGGGTTGAGTAAATCGATGTCGTTTGGGAGAACCTAATATTGCAGCCATAAATAACATTAAAAAAATACGAAATTGAACGGCAACATGAATTTCAAAAAACATTTGTTCAAAAAGAACCACAAACGCCGATAATAGATTATAACTCACCATTTTGGTCGGAAAATTGGAGGCGCAGTGCTGTGATGTTGAGAAGGAAAACGGCCAACACTGCACACAGCTAAATGAGAGACGAAGGTTAGGGTTTTCTCATACTTTATATATAAAAAGGTTAACAGACGTGAACCGTTGGATGTTAAAAAGATGATCTAGGCCGTCCAATTGATTTTGCGTTTAGGGCACGAAGGAGTCAATTTATCCATAGACCGACTTATATGGTCTAAATTTTTGCCTTAACATAACATTTTTGCCCAGATATTTTTTAAAATTAATCTAAAAAGTAAAAAAAAAAATTATTTTTGTTGATGAGTTAATTCATATTATTTATTTTTATTGTCTATAAATTATGGGTGTTTGATTTAGTTCGACCTGATACGTTGAATATTTATAGTTTATTTGCTAGAGATGAGGCTTTAATATGTAGTCGTTATTGTTCTTCTTTCATTAGTAATAAACTAGGGATCGTTCATGCATGTCTCGACTTCCATGCTTGAAGATCTCAACCTTAGTTGAAAACTTAAAGAAGGAAGAAAATCCACTCCAAAAGAAAGGAAGCTTGAATACTCATTGGCTTGAAGAGTTTGTATATATACCTACACAATTACTCTATTGAAGGTTGTTGAAATTATCTAAGTTCATCATATCCGAAGATTTCTTTTGAGTTTTTGTGAGATTTGTTTTCGAGTTCTTTGTGAACAGTTTTTCAGTTTTCTTACACCAATAAAAAATTGTGTTTTGTTTTCTTATTTTTACAACCCCTTGTTCATACTTAGGGATTAAATACATGGATAGCTGGAAGAGATTCTTAGCTAGCTTGAAATTCACAAGGTTTTTGCCAGAGGATTAGTTAAATAGGTTCAGGTATATAGTGTTAGCTAGACTAGAAGAGAGTTCTAGTCTTATTATAATTTCAAGTTGTACATTGTGCACGCAAATCGAACTATTGATAAAAGAGTTCCAAGAGGTAGTGGAACGCTCCTCAATGAGATTTTTAACATTTTATTTTTTATTTTTTTTTTTTAATTCCAAAAATTGTAAATTGAAAGGTGATGCTCAATCTATCTTCATGGATGTAGATATGCCACGGCCAGTTCGGCCCGAAACCGGTCCATGGTCAACGGGCTTGAACCGAGCACGTGGTTTGACCTGGTCAACCTAGGGCTATATATTTTTTTGGAACCGTCAAGCCGATTTCAAACCAGAACCGAAACCGGCGATTTGAACTTTTTTAGAATTTTTATTGTTTTTTTAATGAATCGAACTGACCTGAAATCAACGATCCATGAACTGTCCCGTATATATTTTCGGGCCGATCCAGGGCAGTTGGTCTTATTTTAAATCGCATCAAAATGGTCAAATGGAAACCGGTATACATTGAATGAATGGAATGAAGGGGACGATAGTGCAAGTTTTAATAACTCAACGTTGTTTCGGTTCTCCCGCGAGTTTTAACCGCCTAAATAATAGTACAACCTCTCCTCAGTCCTCCCCTCTGCCCCTCAATCCTTCTCCTTAGCCTCCTCTTCCTCTTTCTCATTTTCCCACAATATTTATTTATTTATTTATTTATTATTGTTGTTATTAATTTGCTTTTAACATTCCCATCTGCTCCCATTTTTCTTTCTCTCTTTCCTTTCTACATTTTCTATTTAGTATTTACAGATGCGGAGATGCCACCATGTCTGCTAGCTTCATCCATCCTCTCATTTGGATAACCCATTTTTAGGTCCTCTTATTTTTCTGCATCTTTTTTCATAATTGAGGTTTTAACGTTGATCTGATTATTGCTTATTTAACTTTTTCTATAAATCCTTGCATTTTTTTTTCTTCTTCATTTAATTTTTACTTCATATATATTAACCTGTTTATTTGTGCAAATGTAGAGTACAAATGAATGGTATAGACCAATCAGAACACTGCTGAAGGATATATTTCAAGGTAGCTGTTTTATGGAGTCAAGTTATTTTCTTCTTCTACTTTACATTTTCAAGAATTTACTCTGGATGAAGATGAATCTATCTTTATTAATTTCTTTATATCGTTTCTATTTTAATTTACTCTGGATGAAGATGAATCTATGTATATCTTTATTAATTTCTTTATATCGTTTCTGTTTTTTCCCCTCTAATTAGCTCTCATAGAAAAAAAAGGGGACGAAATTATTCAGTGTTTCCAGCTATTCTTCTTCATATTAAATTAAATTCTCCATAATGTCCGATATTTGGAATTATTATGAGAAGAAACATATATATATTTTTTTTAAAGATAAGAGTTTTTGTTGTACATTTTTTTGTAGGATGGGAAGGGTAAAGTTGAAGATACAGAGACTAGAGAGCCTGAGTAGCCGGCAGGTTACTTACGGCAAAAGACGAGCTGGGATCTTGAAAAAGGCCCTGGAAATTTCTGTTTTATGTGACATTGATATAATCCTCATTATGTTTTCCCCAACTGGGAAGCCATCCGTATTTCGTGGGCAACGAAGGTAATTTGTGCAATATTTGTATTCAATTAANTAATGTAGTAATTGTGAACTGTCTTGTTCTGTGAATCAACAATATATATTGTATTGAAAGACACGGTTCAATTTTCTGTAGCTTGCAATGTAAATGCCAAATAATTTCTAACATCATTTTATTTGATATCAGCAACATTGATGAAATGATTGCGAAATATGCTCAACTTACACCAAAAGAACGGGCGAAAAGGAGGTTGGAGAGTCTTGAGGTACGTTTTACATTTTAAAATGAACTATTTTTTTGTCCTACTATTGTATTCGAATTCGAATTCTTCTTGTAGATAATCCCTTTTGGATAAATGAAATTACAGACTCTGAAGAGAAACTTTAAGAAGCTTGACCAGGATGTGGATATACAAGAGTTTCTTGATGAAAGGTATTATAGTTCTTTTTTTTTTGCCTATTTCGAATTCTCAGCCTTGTTGTACATTCTTTTTGTCTTTTCNTTTCTTATCTTCTGAATTCTCCTTTTTGCAGTACTCCATCAATTGAGGTACATTTCACTCACTAGCCCTCACAGATAGACACGTAATCTTTATCGACCAATCTCTAAATTTTCTCAGTATTTTTTTAATGGATAGGAAATGCACAACCGAGTTCGGATGCTTCATAACCAAATCGGTGAAGTAAATAAAAGAGTCGAGTATGACCATGCAATTTCCTTTGATAAACTTAATGATAATAATCTGACTCTTTGATTGATAAAACAATCATTCGAATTTTATGGTTTTTCCTTTTCTTGTTCAGCTGGTGGATTAATCCAGACAAGATTGAAGACATTGATCACCTTAATCAGATGGAAACTTCACTAAGCGAGACACTCAACAGGACTCGCATGCACAAAGTAACTCTTTTTATTTGGCCTGCATATCGAAAATTAGTACTTTTTTTTTTTAATTCGGAAAATACTACAATGCTCGGTTTTCTTTCAGCAGGATAAATTCTTGAAGGATTCTCTAGTCTCATACGACTGCACAAGCCAGGTAACAAACGAACGAACGAACGAGCCAATTACTTCACCGTTCAGTTTCTCACACGTGTGTTTGTAGGTTTGTGGAGATTTCGGGACAGTTTACAAGCCGGTAATTCCCGACACGCAGTTCCAAAATGGGATGCATTTTCCAAATGAACCCAATTTCCTGACTAGTGGGTGAGTTCATACTTTTTCTCTGTTTATTACATGTGAATTTGATCATTAACATAAATTGCCAAGTTGTAATTCATGTGATTTTCTCTGTTTATAGTTGCTAACCCTTTTTTTTTTTACTTTAATTAGAGATGTGGACTGCTCGAGAGATGCGCCCTTCTCAGCCGGCACAGGCTATTTCGAAGAAGTGAAAGAACACGAACTCGAAAACACGAGACAAATGAAAAACGAAAGAGATGATGTCATCACTGTTGATGATTACGCGTGTTCTTCTCAGTTAAGAGTGCCACTTGGCGAACAATACACTTCTCACTCGTTTGGAAATTTGAACTTCCTTGACTTGATGGAGTCTGCAAAAGAGGCCAGTTTCCAGCCGAGCATCATTGACTATCAGTTGAACACAAATTTTGAGCTCCAGAGATCGATTTACAACAACTTTCAGCATAATTTGGTCCCCACAGCTAGTTCTTGCGCCATTTCTATGCTCAACGAGCAATCTTATTCTTACCCGCAGGTGAGCTTTTCTAGACTTTAGATGTTTTCAATCTGATAAATTCTCATTTGATGCCATTTTGTGCAAAAAATTGAATAACTGCTTCTTCTGCTTCCTTTTGCAGCCACCAAATTAGTTAAACTTGCTTGATTTTAAACTCTGATGATCAAGAAGTTCCAAAGATCTTTGTAATGTAAAAGTATTTACTGCATTTTTTATTTTTTTTTTGGCTCATGCTTGAGGCATGTACGGCTCGTTTTTTACCCTCAAGAGTTCTAGAGAGATGCAATAAGAACTTTGCCTCATGTAATCTCCAAACTTGTTTAGTTCCTTCTCAATTTCTTCGTTTACAGGTCTTTAAGAATCCCAACTGAATGTTTGCCCGAACCAGTGGTAAAAAATTAATAGGAAAATATTGTCTGTAAAAACATAGAAAAAAAGTAGTGTAGTTGCAGCAAAAGAACAAAGTGTACGTATTATTAGAAGTCACAAACACATCTCAAATTTCCGGACAGCTTGGATTCAATTCAAGAAATGGACACATATGAGACTTGGATAAGTGAATGGTATAATTGGCTAGATGCATATATTAGGCTGCTCGAAGATAATGTTCATCACTTAAAAGCTCATTAATTAGAACATTTTGTAAAATTTACATCAATTAAAATGAAAATGAAAACAGCTCATGCGCAGTTGACACTTAAATCAAATGGCCAGGACTACGGCCTTTCACCTATTTTTTATTTTATTCATTTATTGACCATGATAAAGACAATAATAACAGATTACATGCACTGCTGCAGCTTTTCTGAACCACAAAAGCTGCATTTTTCCAAAAAACACAAAATACTCCCAAGATACAACTAGCAATACACAAAGTACTACCCAGTGGTGATGATGATAAAACCTAACCACTGCATAAAATATCTGCCTTTCGTACTCAAAAAGACCCAAAGACAGAACACAACCTTCACCTAATAATTCCTCGACTCCCACACACAATTACCTAAAATGGTAAAAGTCACTAGTAAAATAACTAAACCCTACATTTTACCGAACTCAGACCAAACTCGACTCGTAGTCCTTGACCGCACGTAACAATTCAAGTGAATTGTGGGCCCGTGAAGGTTTGACCGAATGACCAACCGGTGGGGATGACATCATCGCAGGTAACCGTGCGACCATCACCCGTTGTGACCTTAAATGAGAGACTTTGCCCGTCGAGTAAACTAAAACTTTGCCAATTTTGCCCCCAGTTTCGGTTCATGGACTCCCAATTGGTTTTCGAACCTTTAATGGAAACCGAGCGGACATCTCCCGAGCCACCCACATTGGTAATTAAGACCAAATTGAAGTAGGAGTGACCATTTAAACTGAACCTTATGCCTCCCTTCTTTTGGCACGACACCCTACACAAAAAAAAATTAAAAAAATAAAATGACATTAATCCCAATAGAAAAATATTATAGAACAGGACAACATGCAAAAAATGCAACAAAAGAAAAATATTAGTTCATGTCACGGATTGAGTTCACCTCTTTATTTTATATTAGTAGTATAATTTTGGACACTAGCTAGAATCTTAGAATGCTGGGACAATCACAAGACAAAGGCACAATTCTTGGTACGTAATAAATTATTCATGGAAACAAAATTTGAATAATTTCAAATTAAAATTTTCAAAATGAGTAAAAGGTCAATAAAACAATAATTGAAATCCTGCAGAGCAAAAGGGACTTATATTTTTCAACCTCAATAACAAACTAAAAATTTTTATGATTTCCAAAAGAAACAATATTTCATTAATAATGTATATATACAACCTTCTGTAATGCAGAGGAACAATCCCAGCTTCCTGTTTGGCAATCTTCTCAAAAACGGGTTGCGAGAGGTCGAAATGCACGTTGGGCGGGTTGCACCACCCGCCATCATTGCTCGGTAAGGCGTTGTTAGACGGGCATAAATTGGTGGCCGTCACCATAATCGAGCCCTCGAGGCACGACTTATCGTCGTCCACACACTTCACCTCAAAACAGGCCCCACACATTTGCCCCTCCTCAAACAGAGTTGTACTCAGGGCAGCTGTGTTGGTACCATAGCCTTGGCTGTACAAATTGCCATACCCACACGCCCCACCTGCAGTATCCAACATAGCCAAAATTGAGCTCAAATTATACGTTGTAAATCCAAATTTCAAATTCTGGTTAAAAAAAAAAAAAGTTAAATGAAATTGAAATTAGAGCCCAAATTTATATGGACATATATGTATACATACATACCCATAGTGCCAGAGGCATCACCACCTCCATAAAAGGTGGCACGAGCTTCATTCCAACCTTGCTCGCCATTGCAGCTTATAAGTGACAACACAAAGAACAAACATGCAATAACTTTTGACAAATTGGAAGACATTGTTTCCTTAATTTCCTGAAACTAATTGATCAACAAAAGGAGAAAATTTTAGTACGCATTGTGTGAATATTATATATATTACTTAATTATTTATAGTTAGGACAGTTAATAAATTAAGAAATGAAGAACGAAAAAAACTGAAACGAAAACGGTCTAACCTTTGCTAGTGAGTGTGTGTTTCCCTGTGATTGAAACTTGAGGGTGGGGAATAAATAAATAGGAAAAATAGTAAGGGCGTGTTTGGGGGTGGGGAATATATAACGATGCAGAATAGGAAGGGGTTTAAAAATTTAGCGGCGCCTGTATGGGTATTAGTTTAGGGGTGTGGGGATTTTTGGGGGTAAGACAATTAATTAATTCACAACTATTTTTTTGACCAGTGGACACGTGGCTTCGCCATTTATGCATGCCTGTTCTCTCTAGCTTGTTTCTTCTCATTCTGTGTGCGTGAGGAGGAGGAGAGGGCGTGTTTGGGTGGCGTAATAGAAGAGGAACAGTAAAGATACAAAAAAAGCATTGGTCTTCGTGCAAAAATTGGTAGCAGAAAAACTAGTTGGGAGGGTGAAGGATCAATATTTGTACACTTCCCAAGGCAATTCTTTTTTCATTTTATTTTAACATAAATTTGGACACATGATACCTTTTTTTAACTACTATTGCCTACATAAAATTAAATTCATGTACATTTTATTTGATAAATAACACTTGATTATGTCACTATTGTATGCATGTTATTTATCTACCAAAATAAATTATTACTACTACAACATTACACGAGTTCTTGATATAAAGATAAATCTAGAAAAAAAAATGTATTTTTTTGTTTGAAATTAAAAAAAATATTCAATAAGTAATAAGGAGAAATTGTGTGTGGTTGAATAATAAATAGATATAAATAAAAAATTTAAAGAAAACACAAAAGTTTTTATTCTAAATTTATAAAAAAAAATATTATAAATTAATTATATTATTAGGTTTATTCGAAATAATACCTATATGTTATTATACATGCCGAATTATCAAAAGATTCAAATTTTGGAGTAAATATCAAATATGTTATGTATATTTGTCTTCTTTTTTTTTTTCTAGTTTTAACGAAACGATAGACTTTTAATATAAGAAAAACACATAATTACAAACTAGAAAAACAGTTAAACAGCCAAAAAAGTTATTTATTGATCAGCTGAATTAAGTTAGGAAGACTAATCTCATAGGCAGATAGTTCGAGATAACCTATAACCAACCTAAACACAACACACTAAAGCTAAAAACAAAACAAGAACCACAACAAAAGCTCTTTTCAAGTTATGTATATTTGTCCTGAATATAATTGTACAAACCTTTAAAAGTCGAGCCGACCAGAGTCAAACTCTGCCTCATTTGGTTTAAAATTAACTTTTATCCAAATATGTAAAGTATGACTAGTTTATCAAATGGGTATACTATGTAGTATTCATATCTAGTGTTATTTTTATTATCAACCAGTATGCAATTGTTTATTTTATTAAATAAACATATTTCTCAAATTTCAAATTTCGAATCATGTACTTTTTTCCATGAATCATGTTCAATCACCATTTTATTTCAAAACAATTGTAAGAACTAACAATATGACATTTTCATCGCATCAAACCTTGTTCCAATTTTTTTTTATTGCATTCCCATGTTTTTGTTTTTCTTTTTTCTTTAACTTCATTTGTTTCGATCATTAATTAAAACGGTGGGTGGGTGGACAACAGATCCAACCGTTTCAATCGGCAAAGTTTGGAATCTTCGATCACGCAAAACAAACTGTTTGTGGATGAAAAAAGGTGTAATACAAGTTCAAGTGTTCAACTAGTATTTTCACGAACTGCACTTCACCTATAAAAAGAGTGCGTAATGAGTAAGTGAATTTGGGACGCTTTAATAAAAGTCAATTTGAAAATAAGATTTTATTTTTCTCATTTAATATGGACATTTGTGAATTCGTTCTTAATTGACAGTAAGAGAGTATAAACTATTCTTTAAATTGACTTGTCTGTTAAAAAAAAAAATCTATTTATAAAGTAATTCCAAACAAATTTGAAAAGAAAATGACATGGTAGGATGCAATGAGAATAAAGCAATTTGTGTAATACATAATGTTAAAATATCAACACTTCATTTTGGGAAGGACCCGAGTATCTATAACCATCCGGAAAAATGTGGAACGTTATGGAATATTGTGGAAGGTTCCGGAAACATCTAAAACGACCCGGAAAAATGTGGAAGGTTTCGGAATATTGTAGAAGGATCTAGAAGCTTGAGGAAGCTAGTTGAAGGATGTAGAAGATTCTAAAAAGCAATAGAGATACTAGAATGTTGTAGAATATTGTAGGAACTAGACTTATTTGGATGAGTCTAGAACATTGTACATAATATTAGTAAGTTTTAGAATAGTCTAGAAGGGCAAGAGTGTTAGGGAAACCTCATGAGTGTAGTTAGTTCTAGATAGTTCATTAGAGGGAGGGTTGTCTATAAATAGGCAAGACCACCTCATTTGCAAACCCAAGAGTCTAAGTAAAAGTGTGTGAGTCTCATAGTTATGGTGTTTTGTTCTTGATAAGTGAAAGGTTGTATCTTGATTTATAGTGTGTTTTGTAATTACTTTGTTAATCTAACTAATTACGTTAGTGTCCACGTGTTGTGTTGTGAGTATACCAAACCCAACACATATTACATGATTTTGAGATGTAGTGATTATTACATGATTTTGAGATGTAGTGATTAAGCTGTAAGAAACTATTTTTTTTTTTTTTTTTTTTTTTTTTTTCATAACAATAGGTAAATAATAATAAAAGAGAAATTACAAACTAAACTACAACTAAATAAACCAATTAAAAAATCTGAATTGAGGAGAAGTATTATACAAACAACATAAGTGAAACACTAACACAAATACTAAAAACAAAATTTAAAGTTCAACCTAATTGAGTTGGAGTCAACTAGAAATAAGTTCGGGATTCTCTCGACTGAGAGTTGTTTTCTCGAATGCGAAGTTGAATTCCTTCGATTACAAGTTGGGATTACACTCACAATGGAGGAGGCATTGGTACAAAATAAACACGATATGACACAGTACTACGAAACACAACACAAAAGGCAAAATTAAACACAAAAGGCAAAATAACATTATAATATGATTTAATATCTATAATCAAACAAAGTAGATAATACTAAGCAAAATTCCACGATAATGAGAGTAGTCACCCCTAATTGATAAAATTTCAATCACATGGCATGGCCGCATGGGCCTGGCCCAAATCGCCCTATAAACCGAGCAAAACAGAGCTAAACTGGGGAAAATGCAATTACGAATATCTGCAGGGATCTCTGTGCAAATGAACACTTTCAATTCCTAAAACCCTAGCAGCTCACAGCCTCCAACGAAGTTAGAATGTTAGATATGCAAATGCTCTTTATAAATTTCCCCAAATTTTTACCTTCTCTCATAAACCCTAACCCTCATAACCCCCAAATCTCGATACAATAGGTATGAGCATTTTAATTAACTCTTTTATTTCGACTAACAATCTCTGTTTCAGAATTTTCATTTATCTGATTTCTTATTTGTTGAAATTTATTAATCTCAGCTTAGTTAGCTTAGTTGAATGCAATTTTATGCAGATGATGAAATGTAGAATTCGTCATACTCCCGTTGGAGAAAGATGATATTTTGTTTATTTGGAAATCAGAATCTCTGATGCATTTTTTGATATTTTGGAAAAAAAATATTTAATACCTAGTTTCCAATAAATCTTGACTTGTACTCGATGAAAAGCTCCCATTTTTTTTTTCAATTTTTTCTCGATCAAAGTTTCCATTTTAAATTTGTACTTAATCAAAGTTTTCATTTTTCAATTTGTACTTGATTAAAGCTTACTTTTTTCAATCTGTACTCTATGGAAGTTTTCATTTTTCCTTGTGTAACAGATGCCCTTGGCGCCTATGATGGTGTTAAATATACTTTGAGTGTACAACTGTGAAAAATCATATCATCTGAGGCTTTGAGGCACTTGATTTCAACGTTTTTCATATTTTTATCAGATTTTTTTTTTCCTTCTGATTTTTGTTGTGCAATATTTTTGAATCAACTCAAGTTCAGATTTAGCAGATGATGACAAAATAGACAGGGACATCAGAACTCCCTATGGAGTACAAAGATTGACTTAGTCTAAATGGGAATCTCTCTGATGCTAATCTTTGTTCAACAGTTTAATGAATCTATATTTTTGCTCCATGTTGATTGAATTTGTTCAAGATCTTGCATTTTTTTTTTCTATTTCATGCCCATCAGACAATCTATCAAGTGATCTATGGCCAGTGATGCATAGATCACATAACTATGAGTTTAGTTTTTCAAACATTGATTATACCTTGTAACATATGAATCATCGCAGCTGAGGCCATAAGTATTGTCCTAAAGTCTTGCAATATTTCTTTTACCACATTGTTCTTAATACATATTCTTTTTGAACATTATAAACCGGTTTTGCCAATGATGTATTCTTACATTGCTTGTAATATCAGAATATGAATGATGACATTGAATAAATTGTCACTACCTCTGAGGCGAACACTTGGGGACTAATAAATTCTAATGCTCACCTTTTTAGAGCATCTTTAGTAAGAGCTTTTGTGGAGGTTTACAAACCCCAACTCCAAGGTTTTACTATTAAACTTCATAGGTTTAAGGTTTATAAATTCACAACAGGTTTGCAAATGTAAACCTCTCTCAAACCTTATTAAACAATAATATATATTCAAAGTGGATGACCCACTTACTTTTCTTCTCTATTTTTATATTCGTTTTTTTTTTCTTATATTAAGAACTATGGTTTATTTGTTTATAACAATTTAATAAAAATTATTTTCTTATAATAATTTAATAAAATTTAATTAATATACATAATTATTAAAATATAATATTTAGAATATAACTAAAAAATTGATAATACCAATTAACGTTTTTATGATATTATTTATTACTTTATAATTTCAAATTATCAAATTATAAACTTTAATTTTATTCTAATTAATGTTGTTTATTATATATAATTATATTATTTTTTTTATATGTATTTATGATGAATAAATGTAACATTTTGATTGAATAAAAATAAAAAGTTCAATAATAATTTATATAAAAATATAAGAATGTAATATTAAATTAAAAGTAAGTGGGAAACATGTGGGACCCATAAAAAGAGGTTTATGGGGTTTATTGTTATTTGAGGTTTATGAGTATAGGAGTAAGAATGAGGTTTTGGATGATGTGGCATATTGGGAAATGTAAAAGGGGTTTATGAGGTTTTGTTGATAAAGATGCTCTTAAAGACTTGGGTTTATTTACATGCCACATAGACAAGACTAGACCCAATACATTATAGATGCTCTTATTATGATCATGTTTAAGAGCATTAATTATATTTTAATATTATTTTCTATTCTAGACGTGGATTATAAGGCATAATTTTTTTGCTCAAATATTTTTTTTCTTCATCTTTCTTTATTAATCATAAAAATCTTTCTAACATAAATTATAAATATATTTAAGTGCTAATAGTTTTTTATTTATTATCATTTTTTGTATAATATATCAAATTGACCATGTCTTGATGATATTCGATTTGATATTTTTATTGTACATAAAAATAAATAAATAATTATATTTGTTTTATAACAAACATTAAGTTATATATTAATATTAATTGGAAAAGAACTATTCAAATTAATTTAACTTCAAATTAGTTATATGATATAAGTTTAAAAAATATTATAATATAAGATGTTAAGCTATTTAAATGATGAGTCTCATTTTAAATATAATTAAAATATTTAAAAATTAAAAATTCTTTTTAATTTTAATTTTATATATAAATTTTTTGATAAATACTGTGTAATACAAAGATGTTGTACTAGTATATTATTAAAGTAAATAAGAAAAACAAAAAGAATTTATCTCTCGAGTAGAGTGCTTAGAGAAGAAGGCAAGTAGAGAAGGGCCCACTACAGGTTCTAAAACCTGGAAAGCTCCAAAGATAAGGAAAAGATCTTTAGGTGGGCTGGCATGCCATGCACTCTATTACTTGCACTCTGTTTCTTTTTTTAGTTGTTAAAAAGAGAGATACATCTAACTCTCATTAATTTAACAAAAAATAAATCAAAATTGATATGAAATAAACAAAGTTAACTCCTAGCACCTAACTTTTGGAGTTTAATATAGTAGAATTAATGAGTTTCCGATTTCCGATTCCATGCAAAAAATTAAAAATTCATTTTCTCCCATTGAAAGAGACCAACTTTTACTTTATATACATTCTGAAGTATATAATATATATCTCACAAATAATTTTTGATTGACCCTCCACCTATATATACCCTCCTTTTCTTGTCAATAAGTACCACAAATCCTTCCTAATTAAACTTTTCCCTTCATTCCTTTTGCACCCCTATCTGCATGCTCACAATTCACAAATTGCGCACTTTTAAATAATACGAATTGACCTTAGAATGGCAGGTTATTTTTACCCAGAAATTCTTTTCCCGGCAGTAATAATAGTTTCTTATTTTGTCGACGGTGGGCTCTCGGGTTTGGGCGAGTCCAAGTGCTTGCGGGTCCCCCAATCAAAGTTTTCACAGACGGTGGGGACCACAATTAGTGAAGTCCGGCAGGTGGTCAACACCATATCCAAATTTTCCGGCAATGTTACCGATTTCCGGCTTAACAACGCCACTGCCGACTGCCTTTACTTGATGGACTTTACCGTTGACCTGTTGACCTCCGTCCTTTCTGTTTCCATGAATCCAAATGGTACTTTTCATTATACTTGTTTAATTACATCGCCCAACTTAATTTAATCTTTGCCAAAGATCATGCATATAATAAATCATTAAATGATTAACCTTGCATGAGATGTTG